TGTATAAATATATATATGTATGTATGTATATATATAAATCATCAAAGGTACATATACAGTGTTTAATAAGGACATGATGTACCTTTGATGATTTATATTATATTCATTCAACAGTGTTAACGGCTAACTTCCTTCAATATCATATATATATATACACACGATTTTGCTTTATCGAGCATTGTTTCTTCTATTATTTTATTATTTATATGCATATAATATAGCAGCAACATTGATTCAATTCTACACAGCTAAAAACGCTTTATTTTGTTTACAATTAGGTAACTGAGTCTATTGTTATGGTAGTCGAAAACCTGTTCAGTGTCGATGAGAATATTTTAATACAAAGTCAAATGGAGAACCAGGCACCTACTAGGATTGTTGAGGTTCTTGAAGGTCAGTTGAGTAATGTAGAACTAAATGACGAAGGCATTTATGAAGAAATGGCCCCCAATCTTGCAGTTCAGGCTCAGAGGTTTGATGTCAATCAGTTCAGTCAAGAGGATATCACTTACCTTAGTTATATATCAGAATCTGATGAGAACGGAGTAGGTAATATTGAAGTACTTGAGGATCGAGAGGAAATACCCAATGCTGCCAATGTGTCAATTGCTTTACCAGTCAGCATATTTGATGTCGTCAAGAAAAATAATATGACAGGTACTTACAACTTTATAATAGTAAGACTTTGTCTAGATTGTCAAAGTTTTTTTTGACAAAAAACGGTTGTATGCCCATATATAACAGTCATAAAGATGTCTATAAATGGTCATGATGTGATGTCACATATGTTTGTCAAATAAAATGTGATAGTCTGAACAGGGCTTTAAATTAAAAGTGTGTTGATCTCAAAATCTTATTTGGTTATAGGAAAATCAGCCCTCTTTTTCTCATGGGTATATACGGGTACCGAGCATAATGTAAATTATCTAAATTAGATAGCAGTGCTAGCACTGCTACCCAGAAAACACTACTTTACCCTACTTTACATGAGCTATAGTCATATGTAATGAATAAGATTATATAAATGTAGTGACGAGTGGGTATGAGTTTATTAATATTTACGTGACAATACAACATTTACATATGATGCGTTTGTTATGAACAGATTTCAGGATTGTAGTGGTTGTCTACAGCGGCAGTAAATTGTTCCAATCAGCTCTCTTTGTTAACAACAGCCTAAGTCGCAGACCAAATAGTCAAGTTATATCTCTTTCAGTGCCTGGATTAGACCGTGTGGAATTGCAGGAACCAGTTGTTACTACATTTATTCCTCTTAAAGTAACATTTTAGCTGATTTTCTGTTTTCTGTTATATACTAATTTTATAATACTAAAATTGATAATTATTATAGTTACATGGTTTTCAGTCTCTGATAATTTTTTCACTCCCTCATCTTTGACCTATAGAAAGTGTACTATCCTCCACCGCACCTTTCCCTTCCCCCACCTCTTGGAGCAGGGGTTTTTGCCTGGAGAATGCCAAATTCTCACTAAATCTCGTACAGATAGTGGATTGCGAGTAGGGCGAATTCACTTGGGAGGAAATTCATACCTGTGCCACTGGTATTGAAACACTATAAGTGATATATTATAGGCAATTCGTGATATATATTAGACAACAGATGATATAATAGACAATATGATTATAGTAGACAATAGATGAATTATATAATATAATTAACAAAAGATAACATATAATATATTTTTGACACTTAGATATAATAGTCAACCTCCTTATATGTAAAAAAAATTATGTCATTCAGTTTTCCATTGTAAATGCTAAAATTTTGTTTTTTGGATAATAAAGAAATAAAAGAGAAGAGAGAGAATAATAATAATTATTATTATTATAATAGATGATGGTATTATATCATTTTTAATAATTATTAATAATATTATTGACCATAATCCAAATAATATAACAAATAAGGTTAATAAAATTTTTAATTACTAAATATTGATATTATCTTTACATTTTACAATAATCCGTCTCACACATTTACATTTCCAGATCAATGACAGTATCATAAATACAATGTGTGTATTTTGGGACTTTGAACTTGACGGAGCTGGTGGATGGTCAAGTGAGGGCTGCACGTTTGTAAATGAATCTGCGGATGGGAGACATAGACAATATTGCGAGTGTTCCCATCTAACAAACTTTGCTATACTTATGGTAAGGTACACTATTAGTAAAAAAAAAAACCAACTTGTGTTCTCAAAACAGTTAAAATAAATATCCTACTAACTGTTGAACAAAGCACATTTGCTCACTAAATTTATATTCAGAATTTGTAGAATTTAAAATACATAATATTATTCTCAAAGAATTTCATCTGGTTCTATATTTAATATAGTAGGAAAGTATCTGTTTTGTTTGTTTTGTTGTAGTTGGTGAAACCATTGCTAAGGCCGGTAAGCAAATTATTTTTCACAAATCAGATAATTTCCTACTACATAATATTATTATTGTAATGATCTTTATAGTTTCAAAACAAAAAACAAAAATATCGCGGGGGCATGCCCCCGGACCCTCTAGGGTGGTGTTATCTCGATCGGCCCCACTTTCGGCCCCCCTTTCGGACATCGCTGATCCGCCCCTGATTTTCATACATAGTATTATAATTGCAGTTCTCATGGGCGGATCCACCTTTTTGCAAATGGAAGGGCACATGTTGATGACGTAATTTTGGACAAGTGGTCCAGGGCCTTCCCCGAAAAAAACTTTGGTTTATAGGCCTAGATGCTCGGAAATATACCATGCTTTCTTGCATTTTAAGGGACTGTTAAAATGAATTTCTTCAGATTTCAGAGTTTTTCTTGTTAGCGTGCAGAAAAATTATAATTACTATAAGAATAGGGCCTTTAATTGTGTGACATAGGTAATGGAACATTTTGAAAATCGTGACGAACCTACTACAATTTTTTGTATATAATTCATTTTATGCTATTATAATTTCCCATGTGATGCTTATCAACAGCTGAGTTCATTAAAAATGTTTCAGAAAGTTTAGCTGGAAAACAGGACGGCTTACCCACAAAGAATTTTAATGTAAGGGTTTGTTAGGAATGATAAGAAACGAGTTGTGCTGCATGAGTGCTAAAGTGGTAAAGCACAGTGGCTCATTAAGAAGTAATAAGTTAAAAAGTTACTCCTATTTCATTAATCATTGCAATTATTTAATATATTTGTATTTGCCCCCATAAAAACCCAAATATTCCAAATAAATACTTAATTGTAGCCTGACAAATCCAGTGTTATGTAGATACGTATACTCAGTGTCAGCTGGGAACATCTGTGGAGTGCAATGCACTCTTATTTATCTTTTGCTGATTACTGTCTTTTACTGAATTAATGTGCTCGAAGTGAGTTCATCGTGAATGGGGACCAGAAAGGTTTTGTGGTCGGGGGCAGGGCGAAGGCCCTGGCAAAAAGAAAAAAAAAGCAGACTTTACCTTGATGTTGTTATTGTCATTTTTACTTTTAATAGGATTTTAAGAGGGTTGATCCTCTCTCACCACCAGCTACAATTGTGACTACAGTTGGTTTAAGCATATCAATCATATGTCTTTGCCTAACAGTTCTTACTTTAGTAACCAACAGGTATGTATATAATAAATTGTAAAATATTGTGTATTACCATACCTCATACATATTATTAGGTAATAGCATTATTTAACATTTTATAAAATTCCACCCAGCAAGAGGTGTGGTATTTTTTATTACCTCTTTTCGTGTGCCAAATTTACACGTATGCAGGGCAAAATGTACCCAAAATTAACTACCACACCCTAACATTCGTCAAACGTATGCACTCTGTGTAATTTTACTCTCACTGATCAAAACTGCAACAGACGGGTGATTTGATATTTATAAGGTATAGTAAAACAAATACCACATGTTTTAATTGCGGTAAAGCAAATATCATATTCTAATTTGGATACTACACCTTTAAAACAGTGACACATAATATTATTACATGATAAAGGTGCATCCGAAATTTGGTTAACATAAAATATTACGACATACAATACAAAAAAAAAATTGGCCTATTGCGTTTGAGTATAAATAAAAAAATATTCACTCAAACAATTTACAAGGCCACCCCATCGAACACCCACCCTCATCAAAGTGTCATTAGGAAATGATGTCTTAATAAAAGCAAAATTATAAGAGGAATGACCCCTCCAATCCCCGGAGTGACCCTTACTCCATTTAATATTAATTAGGCAATACACAAAATACAAACTTAAAGTTAAAAACCAAAATTTAAAATGTCCTTACAGAATACAATAAAGCAGAAAGGAAAATGAACCAAACTGAAGTAATTAATTAAATATAAATTTTAAGGTATTCAGAACACGAACAAAGAAACCTAGGCCTAGTCATACAGATGACAATTCCCTATCTTCCACACGAGAGCACACAACCTACTAATCCCAGTGACCCCCACCATCTCTCGCTTCTTCGTACCAGGAGAGGTAGGAAGAGAGGTAGTCCCCATTATCCAGCACCACAGGAAGTAGTATTCACTATCAAGTTGTATTTGTATGCTATTAGGTGATGATCAAAATATGGCAACCACCTATGCAACAAGCCCCGCTGTAAAATTTGTGAAATCCTCATCACTGATCACTACATCCTTCATCGTGAGACGCTATATAAAACCAGAATTATTTATTTATTATTTTATCCTAGTTACTAACCACTCCATAAAACCTGCAAACCTCGCATGCGATTCTCATAACATAATTTATTTAATAACATGCAATATTTGTAACAAAGGCAACTACGTTGGCGAAACCATGAACCCACTTAGATTCCGCATTAACCAACACAAATACGGCATTAGGAAAAACGCCCCCGACAAAACCGTAGCCCAACATTTTAATATGCCCCATCACTCTATTAAAAATCTGCGTGTTACCATCGTCTATTCTAACTTCAACTCCACTCATCATCGCTGCCTTTCAGAACTTTGCTGGATTATCAAACGTAAAACTCCCACCCATGGCCTTAACAAAGATCTTGACGTTCTTGCGGACTTCACCTTTCACCTCTAAACTGTTCATTCTTTCCCTATTCTCCCATCACGTCTATCTCTCTATTTGTCATTGATCTATCAATAGTTTATATTGATACTGTAGTTATTTGCAATATACATCTAGGCCTATGCTGTTTTAATTAGACTGTAAGTGCTGTTTTGAGTCATTTCGATTGTAACCCTGAATAGGGGAGCAGGTGCTCCGAAAATTTGGTTTTTCAATAAAATCTCTGCTTCACCTTGTGAAGAATGTTATTTAGTTTCTGCCTACTTATTA